GTGTCTTATCTACAAACCCATCTGTCTTCCAAAATTTGCCCCGAAATTTATTCGTTAAAACTCCCCTCGCCGAATAAAAGAAAAGCGGGCGGAGGCCGGGGCCGAATTTTCGGAGCCCACATTTGCACAGCTAACTTTCAAGTATTATGTTTATTACACCTCATATGATGGTGTTTTGATAGGGTATTTCAACTTTATAAGTTTCTGGTTTTATCTGAAATAGCCTCTGGATGAGAGGAAAAAGGAAGTGTGCTAAACTATATCAACCGTCACATTCAATAACTCGCATACACGTGATGTGAAGCATCAAAGCTTGTTTCAATGACCTCAATACCATATCTAAAAGGTTGTGAATGAATAACATGGCAAGTCTCAACTCTCCTGAGTCATCGAACAATTAGCAATTTTATGGTCAACCAACAAAAGACCATTGAGACTTAGGTCTCTTTACCACATTCAGAAGCGCATGGACAACTGTTTTATTCTTGGCTCTGTCGAGTCATAGAACATTTGAAAAGCTTGTGGTCAGTAATCAAAGCATAGCAAAATAACATATGAGCCTTACCACCATACCCAAAAGATAGTGGAGGTGGGAAACTCAAGAGTAGCACAATTAGGACTGATCTGGTTTATTCTTTAAGGAATGGATTTTATGAAGGTTAAATGTAGGAAATCAGATATTGAGGGCTATATTAGCATATGAAGTTATGATCAAGAGATTTTAGTGGAGTTTTATAATAATTAAATGCTTATAGAGTGGTGGAGAATAGGCCATGATATACTTGCACCTAATATTAACTGGCAGCTTCTAGAAAGGGTTTGATGTGAATTTAATGGTTAGGTTGAGTATGGCTGCTCTTGGGAGATGAATAGGATATAGGGGAAGATGCTAGTAAGGTTTCAAAGAGGATTTGAGAAACGAAACATTAAGCATAAAGATAACTAACCAACTCCCACCAAGAATAGTAAAGTTAGGCAACCAGGCTCTAACCACAAGAAAATCAATTTCTCCAAAATTTCTGATTCAAAAGTTGAAATATTGCATTATAACGAAAAACACTATATATAGGCATTACATTGACCCTTAGAATACCCTTATTTCAAACAAAAGAAAAAAAAAATTAAGGGAAAAAGTAGGGCTGGATGCTTAAATGGAGAAGTTCCAACATGCTTTTAATTCTTCATGATATTCAACCACTGATCCACATTGTCCCAAGAATAAAATAAAAGATACAAAAGAAAAAACAAAAATTACAATTCTAAATTTTTTAATTTTGGGCTCTTTATTTGGCTCTTATAATTAGACAATTTATTTGGTCCCTTGCTTGGGCTTTAGATTAACTCTTATAATTTAACATTCATCTTGGATTTTTTTAATCTACATAATGTGCTAGATCAAATAGTGAATAGCAACGTGATCAACCTCAACTCTATCGATTATTGGACATCCAACAAGCTTGTGGTCGACCATAGGAGGTAGAGAAAGAAGATAACTGTAAAGAGGGGAGAAGAATAGATTGAGTATAGAAAACCCGATATCACTTGGGTTGGATGATCTGGCAAAGCTCTGATCATGCTTCCATGGGGACTCCTTCAGTTAGGCATCAAAGAAGCATTCTAACAAAACACCATGGCTTCCCTTCTTTTCTTCTTATGCTCATGGAAAACTCTACTTATTTGTAGGAGGTTGGAAGTCCTTTTATTTTTACAAGAGATGTAGGACTAAAATTCTTTTAAGGCTAGTTCACGAGGAGCTAGATCATGATTTATAAGATGTGGGACAACCCACATGATAAAGGACCAACTTCAAACTCGATGGAAAACTATTTTGGCTTGATGGGATCCCATCAATTTTTGAGAATTTCAGTAAAGACTCAAGGTGCGACAAGGCCACATAAGGATCCAATTGGGCTCTTTGAGCATAAAAAATCTACGAATAAGAGAGAGACTCGAGGATTTTTTTTTTTTTTTGCCAGACATTTAACATCTTTTGTCATTGTGGAGAAGTCCTAGGCATAGTTAATGCCTTGCTAGTACAAACACACTAAAGGGTGTTGATGCGGGCCATGTTTTGATCCCAAAACCTGCGTAATTGAAGAAAAACCACAGGCATGCCTCTGACCAATGAGTTTGAGCCAAAGCGAAGATCAAAAATTTGCTCATTCATATATCCCAATCTAATAGCCAAAAAATCCAAAAATCAAGTAAATAACACTGGTTTACCAAGCTATGGCCTTGAAAGAAGTCCAGTGGACACAACCTCCAAAAAATGAAACTCAGTTAACAGAATTTGAGCCGGAAGAAGTGGGAATGTAGGTTCAACCACTGCTCATTAAAAAAATAATATATATACAAATATTTCCATAAATTGCAAAGCCCTTGCAAACATTGCTCAGCAGTTTTGTATCAACAAAAACATAAGCACTCTACTCATGTTGCTTGGTGGTGCGATGGTTTCTTAATGTAATTGGGCGTTTTAATTGAAAATACAAAAAAAAAACAAATAATTAAACACTTGAATAGAAATAAATAAACTAAGAATTGAATAAGCAGCAAACCTTGGTTTGAGATGAAATATCAAGCTTCTTCAAACCTGTAAAGCAATATACCATCCATTTAGTAGTGTTCATATAAATCAGTTAACCGTGTAAATAATGCAAAAGTATACAACAGCAGAGACGTGCCAATTGCCATCTTGAAATGGCAAAACCATGAATTTCGAGAACAAAGATTAAAATGGCATACTTCTCAGGTGTGGTTTATCTAGCTTGCGTTGTTCTTTTGCTTTACCAGAAGGCTCCATATTGGCAGTTTGATTTGATTCAGACAACGAAATCTTACTAGAAGCTCTAAGATTCTCAAACAAACGTACTTCAAGGTTGTCCAATGCTCGGCTTTCACTATCCAACGTAGAGGTTGACTCCGCGGATTGTCTTAATTCTTCGTGAATTCCAGGTAACTTTATTCCAACAGCTTTGCTATATGTGGAATTGATGAAAGCCAGCTCTTCAGGGTTAAGAACGCCTATCAAAGAGCCAAGACCCTGAGTAATACCCTTATTGATGAAATATATGATAAAATAAGGACTACAAGTTGACAATGAGGCTCACCTTCACCGGTGAAAAATTCACTATCCCATGCTAAACTTTTGCGCAAGCTGTACCTATCAGATCTTCCGCACTTTTTCTGTGGAGATTCAGATAGTTCGGAAAGTTGCTCCATTTTCTTGCACACCCTCTCCGCATTTTCGGCTTCCAGATTACTAGAAGTGTAAGATCCTGGGCAGTTAAAGCAAGCATAATTTTATAAGAGAGGCCGATTTGGATAGAAGGATGGCAAAATGGACGTTAGTATTCAATAATTTCACTTGACAGGCCTGAATCATTACCATATAAATCAAGTCCTGTGCCATTTATAATTAGGCTTATTTTCCTTGTTTCGTTTAATAAACTTATAACAACAATGGTTCAGAACAAACATTAATGCCTCCAGCCCATAAGGCACCGCAAATTTGGAAAAATTACATCTGTAGTGTGAATTTTATATTCTTTATTCTTTTATTTTTGGAGGAATTAGTGTGGCATTCTGTGTCCTAACTAATTTAATAAGGTGGGATATCTCAATATAAACTACTACTACTATATGGGATCAGCTACATTGAATATTTTTTCTTCATTGTGTCCTATTAAGAGTCAAATTCTTATTTAAATCCAATGAAAAAATGTCATTTCTAACACTTGTTAATCAAGTCTTTTTAGGACTACCTCTACATTTCTTAACATAGGTCAAATCTAATACATCTACTTTCCTAACTGGGTCATTGGAAAGCCGGCATTTTATGTGACTAAACCATTTAAGGCAACTTTC